TTTTTTTTTCCTGAATGAAATATGTCCGGTCCCAAGAGGAGAAACAGACAGGCGTGAAGTATTCACCGCTGAATGAATATTTTTATATTGCTAAAAGCTTGTTTTATGCCATTGAGAGTATCAGACAATGCTGCTTCTAGGTTAAAGATTTTTCCTGAACAGCTAAGAGTTTTGCTTGAACCACCTTCCCCTTATCATATTTTTTTCTTTCGCCAAATGAAGTTAAAAAAGTATTTATAATACTGTATGATTATGCTCTAACTAATTCTATAATTATAATAGTTGCTCTACACTTCAATACATGTAAAATGTTTAGACAGACATGACATGTAGTAATTGACATCAATCACCATAACAAAGAGTTTCCAATTTTGTATCATACTTATACGTCGAGCTATGTAGATCATGTCATCTTAAGGTACTCTCTCTATAGATCCAAGGACACAGTTAAATCTTGTTTCCTCTACTACAAAATTCAAGAACATGTTTATATCTTGTGGACCCTGAAACCAGATTCCTCGGATGTCAAATTCTCCTTCCAGTTTTCGAACTCTGATCCACCAAACACAACTTTCTTTATCCCGACGTAACTGCACACAAAGAAAACATCCAACGTTAGAGCTTCCACACATTTTAACCATGTCCAGCCTAAAAGTGTTTGTTCAGTCAGAGAGAACTGAACTCACTCTGAACTGATTTGTGTCAATGCGTTTATCAGAACATCAAGAATCAATGGCTCTGAGGTCCCAATATCAAGCCTGTTAAAACCATCATCTACGTTAAGAGTAACAAATCTGCAAAAGCCACAGAAGTCCCCAAATCTAAAGCCACTAGACTTGAATAAAATCGTTTTGGTGTAATAAGAGTTATCACCATATGCGAGCGACGTTGTCCTGGACCTCAAGATCCCCGATGTTATAAAACGTGGTGGGCTCGACATTAGCTCCAAGGATAGCATCATAGTTAGGTCTCTTATCCAGTGGCGCCTGTGATAACTGTACCCATATATGCAAAAGATAAGACAGCTTATTATTGCCTATATTGTGATTTTAACAATAAGAAACTGAACCTCGATAACTTTCTCGAGCAAACATACTTGCATATTCATGGAGTTGTATCCACCAAGACGTCCAAGGATATGCCAAGAACGAATTGCCTGCAAGATTTAGCCACCGAAACATAGCAGCGAGTGATTTGTTACGGTTTTTCCCTATCTCCCTCAAAATAATAATATAGGAATGGTAAGATTTAGTTAAAGGAGCTCACGTCAGAGATCAAGGCTATATCTTTATCCAGGGGAGCGTTGTGAAACTCCAACCACATGTATGAATTCGAATACTCAAACCTTACAAAGCAACAAAACCGAGAGATCGAACATAAAAAAAAAGCAATAAGATGTACTGATTTAGCAGATCAAAATTGATCCGAGACTGAGACACTCACTTGTTGAATGTAACCTGCATCGAAGTTGCTGAACCAGTCTTAGTGTGAAGAATTCTGTTCCTCTTCTTCCTCAATCTCTCGTCCATCTACCAATGATAC